GCCGCCGGCCCGCACAGCCATGTGGCGGCCAGCACTAGTCTACACAGCGGTTGCTAGTCAATAAATGCTACTATCACCGTTTTATCTCTTTTATTTCCTTCCACAACAGTCCTTCAATTAAAGTGAAAAACAGCGATAGTAAATTCTGTGAACTACAGATCTTGTCTCACATGTTGCAGAATAATATATTCTTGAACTGACTTTTGCCTTCATTCCTTTTTCCCAAACAAAGTTACCTCATCAGTTGGGGAAGTCATTTTTGTCCACTTTCGAAATCCCTTTGCTAGTTTCATGCCATCATTTCCTTGGTAAAACGATCAGTTATTTTAAGACCAATAACTAGTGTAAATTATTATCGCGATCTTTTGACATTTCACGTTTGGCCGCGGTTTTTATATTTTAAACCCTGGAAATGTTGAAAATTCACAATTTTTTATACCATAAGTTGACAAACGATTGACCAGGGCCGGGACCAAAGAGAACTATAACATATAGAACTAATTTCATTCAACATTCAATCGGGACCAGGGTAGTTCAATAGATGTAGTTGCAACTCTCACCTATGTCAAATGTCTCCATACATTTTTTTGTTATTATTGTTGAGTCTTATTTGTTTGTTATTGTTTTGATTTGTGTGAGTATCTCACGGACCTTCCCCCACTGCGCCGATTGTTGTTGAAGAAATTACAATACAGAATATGAGGGAAGGGCACTGCATTGTAGATAGCTTTGAACCACAAAAAAAAATTGGAACATCCAATACATGTCCAACTATAGTCATTCATTTGTTAGAGGAAAGGGAAGAAATAATAAAAACAGTACAGTTTGTGTCCAAACGATTTTATTTCTTTGGTTATATCCTAAGAAGTTGTAACGATGAGAAGCTCCGTCGCTCCTAGTGTAATAACTTAAATTTATCTTTACATATATTAGTCCCTTCTGTCACCAGTCGAGAAGAAAACTATATTTATATCACATAAGGTACAGACAATTTTAAATATACATATCTTAACTTACAAAACGAAGATAAAATGTAAAAATGGCAAAGGAAGATTTAAACACAATTAAAAATATAACATTTCTTCTAATACTATACTAAAAGTTCATTAAGCGTGTTAGTAAGCTATAAAAAAATATACTGACATCTAAAACGGCTCGGCTTTTACATCATGTCACTGGTAAATCGTGTACATCGCCCGTTTATAATTGACTAGGTTTGGACGTTTATAGTAGAACAAATTCATTCAAAAAGTGAAGACACTTCGTAAAAACTCTTCGTTTACGATACGATTCGAGCACCATTATAACAAATAACTTGTATTAGATATGAAATAAATTCTTACCTCTCCGTTTTACCTAGGTAAACTAGAAACGGGCGGCATTCATGATAGTTCAGTGACATTTATTCAATGTTCCGTTTATAATTCGAGGATTCTTTTATCCTTATTGACATTTCTTGTAGAATTTTAATATGAAATTTAGGTTACTTGTCCTTTTTATGTTTCTCATTGAGTTAGTAATTCAAAATATTTACAAAAACGACAAGCAAATTCAATATACAATTAACGAAATATGTACATAAAAACATAGACAAATTGAGAACCTCCTCCTTATTGAAGTCGATTAAAAAAAGAATAAACAAGGTGAAAAATTAGAAACTTACGAGCAAGTGTACGAGTACATAATTTGTGATGTTTTTTAATGGAAAATTCAATTGACTTTTTCCCATAGCTAAGGAAATAAATGGAAGAAAGAGTTTTATTAGAAAGTCCAAAATATAAAATTGTCGTGCATACATTTTGGGCTAGGCTGACCAGAATATATTATGCAAAGACAACATTAATAATAGTTTTGAAAGTAGTTTTTGGAGTTTACAAGTACAGTGACCTTCTTTTTAGGTGGTCGAGTTACAATAATTGGTTCGTATTTTAAAAATACCCATTTTCATGAATTACCGACCATGATGCTGTTAAGATTTTGTTATACAATATAATTGGTTTCGTCAATTTAATTTGAATGTATCTAGTGTGTTCAATATAATAAAGTTTGTCAAATCACACTTGTAATTTTTATATACAAAAATATTTACGTGTACATTACAATTATCGAGCAAAACAAAATCTTTCAAAACTACAAGTATGCAATGCTTTGTAAGTCGACACACAAGTGAACAAACCTTACTCAAGAATTTTTTCACGAGTTTTGATTCTGATTCACTTCATTCATAAACAATCGTTGTTATGTAAAATTGTCTAATTTATATTTCACTATACTTATCAGCTGCATACTCATGTATAAGAGTTTAACAAATTATTTGTCAAAGTGAAATTCGCGTCAATATTTAACGTCAGATTAAACTAATGCCTTAAACATTACAATGATTGTGGGTGCAAAATGAGAATGGACAAAATTATAATATACCATCTTAATAATATTCTCAAATAAAATCTTTCTAACACAAATAATTTTAACCGAGCCTTATCACGATTGAAAAACAAAATCTAGAGTTAATATTGCACAACACTTTAATCCAATTGTAAATGATTTTACCTCAGTTCGATCCTCGTAGTGTTTGCAATGGCCGCCACGAATGTCGCGGTTCTGTTTGGACGTTTCAAGATGGCGTCGCGTCGCGTGACGTCACACGTTCGGATACACGTCGCGTGCGGTCACACTCATAATATCATGTGCTGCGGCGCCGCGTCCGCCGGTGTTACCGGTAACGCTGCTACACCTACAAACAAAACCATTATTTATACTAAACATATTGCTACGTGTGTCCTGAAAATTCTCATTTAAATACTAAACAATATATAGTTCAATGTTAATTATGAATCAATACTATTTCCTTTGTTTTTGAACAGACACTGTATAGAAGATTAAAAGAAATCAGCATAGACTAGACAAGAACAAAGAATAGAATAGTTTTTTGCCAATAGCAACAATATAAAACTGACCAATTTCCCCTCGTGTGTCACTGTTGATGGATGCGTTCTGTCGCTGCGCCCTGCGCGCACGTCGCGAGCCCCGCGGCCGTCGCTCCGCGCGCGCCACCAGCGGCTGTCTCTCCTCCGCCTCCGCCTCCGCCACCGCACTAGCCACACGCATCACATGTTACACTTCTGTCCACCTTATAGCTTACTACCACTTCTAATTAAATTTAAATTATATTGTTATTTGATGACTTACTTTTCTCCATTATTTGTTTGTTCAGTTTCTTCTGAACGCTGAGCTCTCTGAAATTGAAACAAGAATTTCAGTCAGATATTTATCTGGGGACGAAACTGTAGTAGTTTTCTCTACTTGTC